GGTTGTAAACCTCCTATCATTAGGATCTCCTGCCCAGTTAGCATCACTAAAAGATTTGAGATTCAAATCACCCTTGGAATATGTGAGCCCCAGATGCATAATCCCTTTTAAGTACCGTAAGATCCTTTTCACTGCTGTAAAATGAGAAGTCATTGGTGCTTGCATAAACTGGCACACCTGATGAACAGAAAAGGCAATATCGGGCCTGGTAAATGTAAGGTACTGAAGAGCCCCTACTATACTCCTGTACATGGTTGGATTGTTATAGGGCTGACCATCATCCTTCAATAGCCGATTATAAGGGAGACATGAAGTATCACAGGATTTAGAACCAATCATTTCTGTTTTATGTAGCAGATCCCGGATGTATTTAGCTGTGATAAGAACATACCATTTGTATGCCGAGTAATCTGAATACCCAAGAAAAAATGGAGAGTTCCCAAATCCTTTATATCAAACTCAGTTTTGAGAGAGTGAATGACTTGTGTAATTGCTGCAGAATTGCTCCCTGTGATGATTATATCATCAACATACAACAATAAAATCACAACAGATTCACCAGCATGCTTGACAAAAAGAGAAGAATCAGAATATGTATGTTGAAACCCCAGAGAAGGTAAAAATGCAGTAAACCTTTCATTCCAAGCCCGAGGGGCTTGTTTCAACCCATAGAGGGACTTGTGTAACTTACAAACGAACTCAGGGTGTGTAGCATCTACAAACCCTGGAGGTTGAGCCATATATACCTCTTCTTGAATAACTCCATGCAAAAAAGCGTTTTTGACATCAAGTTGTCGAAGGGGCCAATCAAATTGAGCTGCTAATGCCAAAACTAACCTGACAGTAGTTGGCTTTACTACAGGACTGAAGGTTTCTCCATAATCTAAACCAGGTTCTTGGCTAAACCCTTTGGCGACCAACCGAGCTTTATGCCGAGCTATAGATCCATCAGAGTGCTTTTTGACCTTGAATACCCATTTGCAGCCCACTAAGTTATTTTGAGGTGGGAGAGGAACCAAACTCCATGTCCCTTGTTTATACAATGCATCGAGTTCTTCTGTCATAGCATTGAACCAAACTGGAACCTTCAATGCAGATTTGTAAGTAGCAGGTTCCACCAAAGAAAGATCAACAGGTGGAGACTCATCAAATGTGGTCAAGAGTGCCTTCTTCTTAACAATTCCACTTTTACTCCTTGTTTGCATAGGATGTAAATTGAGGGGAGATATTGGTAATACAACTTGTAGACCATCAGGACTAAAAGCAGTTGCCACAGGGAGCTCAGGACAGGAATTTGCAGCTACAGTAATGGACTGAGAAACAGGATTTGAGGTTACTGGTTATGAGGGTACTAATGAAGGGGGAGTGGAAACAGAATGATGTAATGGTGGAACAACAGGACTATGAGATGATAAACTTGGTGACACAGGTATAGAAGATGTATGTGATGATGAATGAGATGGGAATGTAACTAATTCATTAAGACTATTAGGGATAGGTAAATGATGTGTAAAATGAGCTGCTGTAGAAGACTGTGTAGATATCTTATGTAGAGAAGTAACTGCTGTCAATAAGGCTGCATAAGGAAACTCTGACTCATCAAATATCACATGTCTAGAAATGTAGAATCTGTGAATTAACACCTCATAACAGATATACCCTTTATATTTAGAAGCATACCCAAGAAAAACACATTTGGTTGTTTTTGTTGCAATTTGGTATTGTTGTAAGGCTTAAGAAGAGGATAACAGGTACACTCGAAAACCCTTAAGTGGGAAATGGCAGGTAAATCCCCAAACAAAAGCTCAAAAGGTGACTTATTCTGCAAAGTTGCAGAGGGCATCCTATTGATGAGATAATTAGCAGTTTGACAACCAAATGACCAAAAATGGGATGGCAGTTGAGCATTTTGGAGAAGTGTAATAGTGGTTTCGACCAAGTGTCTATGTTTCCTTTCTGCTAAACCGTTTTGCTCAAGGGTATAAAGACAAGAAATTTGATGGGAAATGCCTTTTTCTTTAAGAAACCTTTGAAATCTGTGATTAAGGTATTCCCCACCCCCATCACTTTGCAACATTTGAAGTGAAACTGAGAATTGATTCAACACAAATGAATAAAAACCAACAAATGAGTCAAACAAATCTGATTTATTGATGAGAGGAAACAGCCAACAAAACCGAGTACATTCATCAATGAATGTTACATAATATCGAAAACCATCAGCAGAAATACATGGTGCTGGCCCCCAAATGTCACTATGAACAATTTCAAAAGGTTTAACAGCCTTATTGACACTACAATGAAATGGCAGTTTGCTAAACTTGCCTTCTAAGCAGCTTTGACACAACACAGGTAATGAAGCTTTTGTACAAGGTAATTTAGCTTTACTGAGCATTAAAGACACAATGGGGTTTGAGGGATGACCTAGTCTACTATGCCAAATAGTAGATGTGACAAGCTGACCAAGGAAAGCTGTGGGTTGCAAAATCGATTTCTGAGATGCAGGATGATGATTGGCAAGTGAAGGTATTGGATATAGCCCATTACTGCAAATACCTTTGAACAGTATCCTCCCTGTAGCCTTGTCCTGTATCAAAAAATTATATGCATCAAATATGAGCCAACAGTTGTTGTCAAGGCAGAGTCTATGCACAGATAACAAGTTTTGAGACAATTTAGGCACATATAGTATAGAATTCAGCTTAATGGGATGAATATGAGGTTTGAGAATTGTACTCCCAATATGAGATACTGTCAGACCTTCACCATTAGCAGTGTGCACTGTTTCAGAAGTAGGATAAGGAGTGGCCAAGGTCAAGTTGTTGAAATCAGCAGTCATATGGTTGGTTGCACCGGAGTCCGCAATCCAAACTTGAGGTGAAGTGGCTGGAGTATAGGACATTCCAGGTGTGGACTGTGAGGGTTGAGAAAACACAGTGTTCATTGCTTGCATAGAGTATTGTGGAGGAGAGGAATGAGGGAACAGGCCAAACTGTGGATGTGATAGGCGAGGATCTTTATCCTTGTGAAAACAATACTGAGCAGTATGATTCTGTCGGCCACAAATGTAACACTTAGGCTTGGACCGGAATTGGTTAGGACAGGAAGGTGCAATGTGGCCTTCTTGATAGCACAGTTGACAAGTATTAGAAGGATCAGGATAACTACCATAAGCTGACTGAGGTGCATGACCAAGAAGACCTGGACTTGGTGTTGGAAGCACTCGAGTTTGAGTATTCTGCCTTGGCATGTTGAATCTGTTGCCTTGAGTAAACTTGCCCTTGCCTTTGTATTTATTGTTGTATTGCCTAAAACCATAGTTGGATTGCCCAGAATTAGAAGAATGACCAGAAGAATGATCACTAGAACCCCTGTCAGTGGTAGAAGAATTGGTAGCCAACATTGCAGACAACATCTGAGCATTAGTACTGGCATCAACAATTCCTTCCTCAGCAAGCAATTGAGATCGAAATTCTTTCAACGAGATGACCTTTTCTCTTCCACGAATGACACACCGAAATGTGTTATATTCATGAGGTAATCCATTTAAAGCCAAAATCACAATATCTTCATCTTCAAAGAACACTCCTGCAGCAGAGAGATAATCTCGAGCCTCTTTGATTCGCTGCAGATACTGAGAAATTGTATTGGAACCTTTTTTAATGTTTTGTAAATCAGACTTCATCTGAAAGATACTAGTTCTTGAAACCGTCGAAAAATTGTCTTTGAGACGAGTCCAAATGTCCTGAGAACTAGTACTCCCAATAGCGCAAGAAACAGCTACAGGGGACAGTGTAGCATTTATCAACTGCATAAGTGCACGATCATGCATTTTCCACACTTTATATTCATCAGTTTCAACATTAGCAGATGAATCACCAAAACTGACTTCAGACGCAACAGAAGAAGAAGATACAAAACGAGGAGGACATGGGGACGAACCATCAACAAACCCCATAATTCCATATCCCTCCAGCATTAATTCCATTTGAAAATGCCAATTAAGGTAATTAGAGTCATCCAATTTAACATTCACAGAAGTGGACACAGAGGAAATCAACCCAGTAATCGGAGATTGCAAAATCTGAAGTTGCGAAGCCGTAACCATGATTGTATACAAAGAAACAGAGGGAAATAATACCCTTATGTGGCTCAGACAAAAAAGCAAACACCTGGTGTGCAGTCGGAAAACACCCAGAAAACAAGAATCGCGACTTGATGTAGAAACCCTAGAATCTTGAACACCAAGAGAAATCACTAAGAGAAGAGACGATTCAGCACCAGAGTAGCAGACGAAGACTTGTAGAATGCGGAAGCAACGAAGGATCAGATCTTTACGCGTGAGCAACAATGGCGATTGATACCATGTTAACTCAGTATCTCAGATTCTATGAAGATAGAGAGAGAGAGAGAGAAAGAGAAAGAGAAAGAGAATTGTAGAGAGAATTCAGAGGGAAAATATGATTGTATTAATATCTTTCTTAATCAGGAAGCTATTACAAGATGGAGTATTTATATCCATAGCAAACCGACTCTTCTAACAAATATAACAGACAAGCTAATCTGTTTACATGTGGCATCATCTCAGCCTTACATTCTTATACTGCTAACAACTATATCCTTCTTCGTGATCAAATCCACTTTTTATTTTGAAGTTTGGCAAATGAAAAGCCTTCGTGGTCCTCCCTGGTTGGTCACCGTAGGGCGCAGCACCACGCCGACAAGTGTCCCCAAGAAAACCACCATAAGTTTCCCCATTTGGAAAAAAAATGTCGGGATCACGGCCAGCCCACGGTTTCTACATAAGGACGAGTCAACCATCAGCCACGTGGGGCATCCCCTGTTCCCCGAATGCCACGCACTTGAATTTCTGTGGTGGTTACCGGCCACGTTAGTTACGTGGTGGTCTTGGTCTCCCCATGCATTGGCTCGTGGGACAACCAGTCAATGAGTCACCACCTACCACCAAGTATATAGGAACACTATCCCTTCACAATATTTCATTTTCTTCATCAGATATCATTTCGTTACGCGCTTTAATCTGTTTCTGTCTCTCAGCTCCCAAAATCTCTCTCTAAATCTTCCTGCTCTCTCTATATCTTCCTGTCTCTCTCTCTCTCTCTCTCTTCAGAAAATGGAAGCTGCTCCAATCCGAATGGATAGGAAAACATCGATAGAAACTGAGCCAAGAACGTTGCGGATAGACCAAATTGAATTTGCAAGGGTACTGTTTTAATCTTTTCTGGGTTTTTGGGACATGCATATGCTTCCTCTTAGCAAGGATATCTCATTTCAGGCAGCAGTAGCAAAAAGGGAACGATTTATTATTTACCGTATAAGATCTTTGTATTAAGTAAAAGGCATGCAGAGAGTAAGATATACAAGAGGTTCTATATATGTGGTCTTCTTCCTTTTATTGCTACAGTATATGACGACTGCATGCATGATCATTTTCTTATCCTTTCTGCTACAGCTGGAATCATGAGTTTGAATTTGTTTTCCATTTTATCTATTTTTTGTGGGTTTGTAATTTTTAACTATGGTGATATCTTGCAGGAGGCAGCCAAGTATGTGGTGAATACAAAGAATATAGAAGAAGCAATGAGCATTTTCACAGAGGTACGTTGTGGTTGAAAAATCATTTTAATAACTTTTCTTGATGAATATCTAACAATATTACAAACCAAGATTTCAATCAACTACATTAATTATTAATTTACAGGGTTTGAAACCAGTAGTTAGTTCGATCAAGCAAAACGGTGATGAAATGATGATAGATTCAGTTGAGGAACCCGAGCACTCGGATGATTATTTCATAAGACCACGAGGACCCCAGGATGTTGTCTCAGCTCCTTTTTAGCTGCCGATTTAACACTCTTGTAATTTAATTACTGCAGGTGTTTTGGATGTAAAATTTTGTACAGGATATGGATTTTTTTTGTTTTTGTTTTTCGTTCAGTCGGTTTTTTGTGTGACTTGTTCTTCATACAATTCCGAGAAATTTTTGAATTGATTGTTTTCCTAAAGTACAGGGGCGAGATATTCTATGGAAGGGTTTTTACTTTATAGATTCAGTCAACCAGTTTTAGTTGTATTTAACCTAATCAGGTTTTAACTACAAGCTGGTGATCCGATAGTAAATGACGAATTACGAGATTATTTTAAAACTAAAAATTGGAGACTTCGAGTTCGAAATCTGTTGCTGGTGTGGAAGTCAGATTTCTGGTCAGGAAATGTTAAAATGCCTACAGCCTCTGAAAAGAGTGGATAAGCATGGTTTGTCATCAATTATCCTCATTTAAAATATAAAAATAAAAATAAAATAAAAAAAACTTGATCAGGTTTTAATATTGGATATATTTTAAAACATGGGAGGTCACTATCTTAATAGGTGCACGTGATATATCCTCTTTGTTTTGGATTATAAGGATTTTTTATTGAAAATTTTAACGAAACATTTTTGTTACTGTTCATTTTAACGAAAAATCACATTTTTAACTTTTTTTGTATCATTCAATACGCCTTTATTTATCTTTTTTCATTAAAACAAAAAAAAATAGTTTTCATTAATTTTTTTTTATTTTTATTTTTATTTTTGTTTTTATATGTTTTTATCGAAAAGAGAATTCTCACTTATGTGGTTATTGAATCTGATTCCTTGCAATCTATTTCGTCTTTATAAGATAGCATCGCAAATGGCAGGTGGAAGGCGTTTCCCATATTATCCAAGTGTAGGCAAGTTGGTAATTCCTTCAATGACTGTCGCTGGTCTTGGATTCCAAGAACAATCAATATGGCGCCCGATAGGTTGGCGTCGCAAAGGTATGTGAAGATGTGTGACTTTCTTTGGGTTGACCGGACCCATCTTCATTTGTTCATGTACTTAATAAAGATGGACTACCTTGCCCACATTAGTTTTATTCGGAAGTGCAAGGGGTGACGCTACTACTTTCTAGTAGTGTTGAGTTTTCTTCCCCTTGCATTTCCGACTTTGTTTTTTAGTTGTTTGCCTCATTGTGGGCTTTCAGTGTATGCTTAGGCATTTTTACCCTGGTTATCAATTCCAATTTACCAAAAAAAAAATTCCATTAGAGCGAGAGATTTTTTTAGTGTAATTGGTATACAGGGGGTAGTACACTACATGTTACTATATAAATGGTGGGATATGTGTGCTAAAAAACTAATAACTTAAAAAATAAAATTTACCATCACTTATATTAAAATACGTTATATATCACTTGTATTCCTGTCATAATTAAAAATTTCTCCGTTAGAATGGTCCAGACAACAAACTTGGGCCTAGCAAAAATAAAAAGGCAACAAGAGGAAACTTTAATCTTCAAAAGTAGACCTTAATCTCTAAAAGTAGTCCACCGCATCTGCTATGCTTGCAATCGCCGAAAGGAAAACAACTCAAAGTTGAATTGGGCAAATGCATTGCAGCGCCATCCTTGTTCCAAATCCAAAAACGTCGAACCAAATCGAGCTCCCGAGATTATTAAAAAAATAAAAAAATGAAGGTGTTCAAGACAAGAATTCTAAGTTTCTAACATAGTTGTGAAAACAAAAACTCCGAAGTATGAATAACAAAAAACTCATAACATCAAAAATGCATAACTCATATCCGAATCCACATAGCTCAAAATCCTAACTGAATCTGTAACGCTAAATAATAACTATCACACCACGTAGAAGTCACGTTGCCATTAAATCCACCCATATCCAGCTATGAAGAACTTGTAGTATAAAGAGGATCTGGATCTCTAATGATCAAATTGTGCATAATAGCGACTAAGAGTTGTTATCTAACAAAATTGGTCAAAAATAAATGGGCAAATCGCATCAGAGTCAGTCAAACTGACAAAATAAATAAAGTTAGAGCAAACGAAAAAATTCTAGAAGGCGTCATGGGGAAGGATTGAAACGAGGAACGAGCAAAACATCGACAATATAAAGTTAGAGCAAACGAAAAAATTCAAGATTTGGGGACGAGCAAAACAAAGATGATTAAGTATTGAATAATGAGTATAGGTCAAATTATCTCGCCACATGAGACTTGTTATTTGCTTTAGGAATTGAGGCTAGGTACATCTTAATGGAGGCTTTGATTCCGTTTCAATTCCTCTTTTACTTGGTCGATTTATGAATTTTCCATTTTTATACCTATTCAAGTAAGGCCAAATCAAATTAATGTTCTATGTGGTGATAGAGTATTCGAAAGATAACCACTGCGGAGATAAAATTGTCCAGCACCAGTTTTTCTTCGGTTTACCTTCACCTCCTCATCTCCTTTCTCTTCAAACCTTTTTTTTTTTTTTTTTTTTTTGTGAAGAGGAATATAAATAAGCATAGAAATTATATCCAGCCTCATTCTTGCAGCTATTGCGCTATACAAAATTGTTTAAAATCTAACTTAATGGATGATGAAAAGGAGTTGCCGACAGCAGAGGTAATGAGATCGATCCACTGACCTCTATCTTCCAATTTCTTCAATCTTTTATGGAGGCTTGTTGAGACCTAGGTAGATATTGAATACAAAACTTTATAGAAATCAAACTTCTGGGTTTGCCAAAACAAAAAGGTCGCCATGTGAAATGGAATAAGAGATTGCAACCTAACTAAGGAATCGGCCATGAGAGTGTGAGAGAAGGGTGGGCGGTGGGGAGAAAAGATATCGGATTGACCTTGAATCCCGGTTTGCTTGAGAAGAGAGAAAGCTGACTTTGAGAAAGATCGGTAAAAAAATGTTAAAATCATCTCCAACTCTTAGATTAAAACTTAAAATTTTTAACCCAAAAACAGTTTTTCTCCCCTAACATTTTTTGCTTAAATTTTTAGCCTGAGATTATTAAACACTGAGTTTAGGATAATTTTTTTCTTAAAGTTACTTTTTTAAAAAAAAAAAAAACTATGTAGACTATCTTAATTTAATTTTAAAACATTTTTAACCTAAAAATATTTAGATTCAGATAAATATTGAAAAAATCACTAAACCGACACCATGAAACTCGTAGAACACTATGAAAGAATATAAAACACATAAAATATTTTTTTTAATTACTTTAGCCATTGGATTTAAATGTGGACCTTTATATATTTATTTTGTATTGTTGGATTTGATCATATTAGATTTTAGCCATTAGATTCAATGAATTTATAAATATAAAACAAATAAAATACACACATATAGTGAGTCAGTCTCACTAACCCAGGGAGAATCCTGGGCTAAATTTGCCCCATAAGACCGACTTCAACCATTGAGTTAAAACCTAAAAATTTTAACTTATAAAATTTAGGTTTTAACCCAGAAATAGTTTTTCTTCACCAACTCTTATGGGTTAAATTTTTAGCCCGAGATTATTAAAGAATGAATTTAGGATAATTTTTTTGTTAAAGTAATTTTCTTTAAAAAAATTATGTGGACTATCCTAATTTAATTTTATGAATAGTTTAACCTAAAAATATTTAGATTCTGATAAATATTGAAAAATCATCAAACCGGCACCATGAAACTCGTGAAATACTACAAAAGAATATGAAACACATAAAATAATTTCTTTTTAGTTACTTTAGCAGTTGGATTTAAATTTGGTGACACACCCTGACCGAGATCAAGGCATACTGGCCGTCACGTGAGAGTGATGTAGCCATGTGCACAGTGCGGAAGCGATAATGATCATAATTATACGAATAATTAAAAACCAATTTACTAGAGTGCACTACTAAACAGGAAGTGATAGGAGTTAGTTACAACAGTAAACACTCCTAATCAGAGCATAATAAGTCTAGGTGCAGTCCAGTAGGACAAGTACTAATTATACAATACCAGAAATGTCCTACTATTATTTAGATAAGTCAGAACCGCCGACGTCCTCAAGCCACCAACAGCAAGCTTACTTAAAACCTGAAGGGGCGCAAAACAGAAAACGTGAGTGGGCAAACAAATGTTTTACAAAACCATTTTTTTTATCAACATATCTAACCCCTCGCTGTAAACCATGTATAATTTTTCCCAGAATCAGAATATAAGCATATGCATAAATTAATATATATATATATATACACACACACACACATATAATCATATCAATTCAATTCATGTTTCACATAATCGTTTTCAAATATATGTCATGCCAATATATAACAGAGTAAGCAATTTAGGTAAGAATAAATTCATAGAAATATGATATGTTAGCCGGAACCCCTGTGGTAGTCTATACGGCTAAATTCATAGCTCAAAGTTACTCTAACCGGAGTCACTACAATGACCTATACGGCAACATACTGCACATAAGTCGGAACCACGAAAAATGGGTCTGTACGACAAGATTGGATGTAATATAGTTATGCTCAATTTTACTCTCTCATAATAGTCGGGCGATAAATCGCTAGTCACCTACGAGTCGGAACCTTAATTAAGGTCTGTACGACAAGACTGTGCACTTAAGTTGGATCTAATTTGAGCATATAGTGCGGGAGGTGACGTTAATAAACATGCATGTACTTCATATTTCTGGCTAAATTATAATCACCCTAGGTACAGTTTTATGAGCTCAACATTATTCGATCACATATCACATCATCGATAATTCACCTAACCAAACATAACTTACCTGAACTTACATGTGCCTCCACAGCACCATATATATATATATATATATATATAAGGTATCACACACCAAGTCATACACGAAACATAATTGTATATGCATAGCATTTATGTCATATTAATAGCATTTATGTCATATTATCATTTAAACATATTTTTCTAGAAAAATATCAAGTATATAAATATATACTGAAAACCAAAAGCTCACTCACTGATCGAAGGGTCATAGCCCCTGAGTCACCCGTGGATACGCTCGTCATCAGGATAAGCTTCACCTATATGCGAATTAACTATAAAAACGTTATTTTAAAGCACATAGGCAAAACTAGCTAATAACTTCTCATACATAGCTCAAAATGGGTATATGAATATACCACAGTGACCTACACAACCTCAGGAACAACCCTAAATTTTTAGTTAAATTTTTTGAGCTCCCACGCGCGGCCAAACCTAACGG